TACAAATGGCATATATTCATTTACATATTATATATAAAAAATAATGTTTTGTGTGTACGCGCATATAAATTATTTTTTGCTATATATTTAATAAGTTTGGAATCATAATTTTAATTGAAATCATATTTCTGAATGCTTCCTCAATAAAGTTTTATGTGTATGTATATATATATATATATATATATATATATATATATACCAGGACAATGGTTGTCATAGTAACAATTGCCAAACAACATGTTCTGTATTGTTGCGTACAGTTATCAAGTGCAATGGAATGTTAATATACTTGCAACTACTATTGTTAAACAATGCATACGTTAAAATTAGTAATGATAGGACCGACTGAGGTAAGATTATCAATTGAATATTTATATGAATATTTAAAAAAGAATGTGAAGATATTTTATCAAATTTCGCCAAAATTATGAATACTGAACTATGTAACATACACATGTCTATTCATAGAGTGGGAAAACCACGATAGCGAATTTTCTGGCGGATGCTACAGAAATTTCGTATGATTATCATCCAACTCAAGGTGTTCGAATATTAGAATTTGAAATTAACGATATTGAAGTTAATAATGAACGCATCTCGAGAGATCTCGAGCTGTGGGACTGCAGTGGAAATCACAAGTAGATAACACGTACATGCTTTGGCAAAATTGAATTTTGAATGAGAAAAATATTGTAAAAATATTTTCGACAGGTTCAAAAATTGTTGGCCAGCTATACGTAAAGATGTACATGGCGTAATCCTCGTGTGTAGCGCAAAAATACAAGATTCTTCGAAAAAGCTGATGGAATATTATGATTACTTTGTTAGCGGAGCTAAATTAAGGCCAAATAGTTGTGTAATATTCTTCTTTGATCCTGATAATACATCAAGCGCATCGAAAATTATTTGTAAGTATTTCAGTAATAATCTAATCCCAACGAAACTTCAATTTCTAAATCAATGATTTTTCTTTATTTTCCAAACTTGAAATAAAGAAATCATGTGTAATATAAATTAATCTTGAAATTATGATATGCATGTTTAAAGCATCTACTTTCTCAAATGTCTCTCATGTCAAGTGTAACGTGGATGACGGTGGCGACAAATTAAAGGCTGATTTTCGATTGTTTCTAAGTGCCCTAATAACGAAACTACATGAAGATAAAGAAGAAAAGCTGATATTAAGTGATAATATATTATTTTCTAAATAATATGTTCATTTTTTCATAACAATTATACAAATAATAAGAAAATATTACTCTTTATTATAATACCTATCTCTGTTATAGTTATTTATATAGCCAAGAATACACTTGATTAGCAATATTTTCGTCATCAATGTATAATATTTTAATTACAAATTGTATATCACAGACTGGTTAAACGTTATTTTTGAGAACAAACTACTCTACTCTGTAGTCTGTTTAATTCTGTTGTTAATTCTCTCCATGCTCTTTCCACTTGTACTAAAGTTTCTTCATAACTCCACAAAGTGCTTATAACAACGTTGGCTTCCTTAACTTGCTCCGTGTTACTTGGTTGCATTTCAATCCTTAATTTTGCTGCTTCCTCAGATAATCCATTTCTATCCATTACTCGTTTTATAGCCTACAGATATATTTAACATTAATTTATAACGATTTAAATTATATAAACAATTATAAATACTTCGTACATATCTAAATATAAAATGAGATAATAGATAAATTCCTATAATTACATACTTATACATAGATACAATATGATTTACTAAATAAGGAGACTGACCTCACTTTGTGGAATAATACAAGTCCAAATTTCACTGCATTCATTCTGCCACTTAGCTTGAATCAAAACTGCTGCTTCCAATACAATAATATCACGACCCTTGCAAACAAGCTTTTCTATTTCTCTTTTAGCTTCTTGCAGAATTAAAGGCCAAATTAATTTATTCAATTTTTCTAATTCTTCCTACATAAAATATATACTTCTATATAAAATCATATATAAAAAATAGTGTAAAATATGATCCTAAATTACCTTATTATTAAACACTATATCACCAAGCAACTTTCTACTTATAAAGCCATCTGAGTCAAGAATAGAAGAACCAAAATGTTCAATTATTTTATGAAAGCAATCTGTCCCGGGTAAATATAAGTCATGAGCTAACTTGTCACAATTTACAAGACCAGCGCCGAGTTGTTGCATTTTTTCAGCTACCGAGGATTTTCCACTCGCAATACCACCCGTTAAACCAATAACATAAGGTTTTAAAATTCTATCTTCTCTCTAATAAGAAAGAAATAGATTAATCAATTTATATAACAAAATGCGATTTATATAAAACTATAAAGAGAAAATCTGACACTTAAAATTTTTTGTGTATCATACTGTAAATATTCAGTAGATAACCTACAGGAGCTTTAAGTCTTGTGCCAAGTAATCGCATTCTGTGATTACTAGAGCTAATTTTGTCCTCTTCATGTTCGTTATGATTTTCATCAGTTGCTAGCTCTACTATATGAATGTTCAATTTCTTTAAATTTTTTTGCAAACGTATTTCATTGACTTTATCACCTCCACGTTTTGTTTCTTGGCTAACAACTATCATATCCAATGTTGGATCTTCCTTGGTAGGTCCATAAATGTCATTGATAGGAACAACATTATACGTTATTGATGAATCTACATCTTCCAAAAACTCTTCGACGTCACTTATTCTTTGTGTACACGGTTGTATAAGCTCCCACAATATTTTACCTGAAAATATATTTTATTTCTACTTATATCATTGTGTAATGATATTATTAAGTCGTCTCATAGTTCTTATTTGTAAATTATTCAAAAGTATTATTATATATTACAATTGATTCAAACTGTGTAAATTATAAGAATTTGTTACCAGTAATCATGTTAGTGTCTGTCACACCAACAGTAAGTCTTTCTGTACAACGCAGAGCAGCCTCGCTTAACAAGATCTTGTGACCATTGTGCAATCGATCGAATGTACCGCCCAGTACTACGTTCTTGTAAGTTTTCATATTCTGAACATCATTTTCTGTATTCTTATGACAGTTTGGACCTGGACCGTATACGTAGTTAACAAAACGGTAGTTTAGCGACTTGTTTGCTAAGTGATCCTGTATAAACGTGTCCGCCTCTTCTTTACTGCACGTTTGATCGAAGATCACGACTTCTACAGGTTTCTTGGTATTTATAATAGATCTATCGGGACATTTCAAGTTGGTGAGTAAAACACGAATGTCGAGACGAGAGGCGATTGTAGAAGTATTTTTATATATGTCGGTGATTTTCTTCGAATATTCAGGATCTCTCCTTTGCAACGTCGCAGAATTATAATTTCCTGCAAAATTCTTCCCTGGAAGATATTGAATGTATAGTGTCTTCAGAACATGTTTCTGGATTACAAACAGCAACCCTTTCATTTTTGCAGGATTTGTTAAAATTAATAGACCAGTGTTTGCCATGTTGGAGAAAATATATTAAAATTATTTCGATTTCTAAAATACACTTTTCTAATATTTCGATTCACGTTTAATTCATTATTTTTAACGAATAATGTTTAGAAAATTGTAGACAATCACTTTTTTTTCTCAAACCTTGTTCTAGTTTTAGAATGGAGTACTTTTTTATCTATTTTCTCTTTCATCATACGTCGTATGACATGGCGATTATCAAATTTATGTTAGTTTTTCAAGTAACTCCATTTATTAAACAGTAGAATGAGGCATTGTAAATTAGAAGCAAATTATCGTTAAGCCGTGTCAGCCTTAAACCAGTATCACACTACGCACTACATTGTGGATGCGGACATGATGTAAGAAGACAAGGTGAATCAACGCACTGAATCAACTGGTAAAACCAGCCAATCAAAATCCTGTCCAAAATGCAGCGCGATATTCATCGATCAATGCGTATATGTATAATAAGGGCTCCTGCACACTGGACGCGGAAATGCTTGCCGCGTGGCAAAATGCGACGCGGTAGCCAATAAACTTACAGCTCCTAAAGAAAGATGACAC